GTGTACAGCATTTCACCTCTAGCTAAGAAGTTTCACTCACAAAACACACAGTCAACACCCTCTATACAGGGTGTCCACAAAGTCCTGTTACACCTTCCCCACCCCGCCTTTACTCTCTCTCTCTCTCTCTATATATATATATACACACACACACACTGCACTGACCAAACAACTGAAACATGGAAGAATGATACTAATTGAGTAGTCAGAAGTATATGGAATCCTGTAGCTCAGTTGTTAGAGTGCTCACCTTGCAAGAGATAGGACATGGGTTGGATTACGGGCAGGCCGAAATGTTAGTCAAGTTTGCTTACTCCACACGCCTCTGTTTACCTAGCAGTAAGTAGGAACCTGGTTATTAGTTAATTGGTGGATTACTTTACCGGAGTTAATAATCCCTTCAACAAAAAATAATTTGGTCATTTAATCCATGACTGTTGTGGGACATTGCTGTGCGCAATTGGCTGCCATGTTTCGCCCACAAAATATACAGTCAATTCACAGTGTATCATGTGAAGCGCTTTGAGACGTCTCGACAACGTGATAAGGCGCTATATCAAATGCAAGGATTATTATTATGTTTGTGGTTTGATGTCAACCCCAAGTAAATATTTGAGCTCATAGTTTATGTTGACGCTTTAATACAATGCTGTGGTAGGGCTCCATTGTGAAAGGTGCTGTTCTTTGCATATGATATTAAACTGAGGTCCTGTTCTGCTGGATATTATAGGTGCTCAAATTGAAAGATTGAAGTCTAATTTATTGTTAGTGTGAAGTGAGTTAACATTTCAGGTAATGACCTATGATCAGAACTGGGAGACGTTGGGAGCAGATTATAAGGACAAGCAGAGAAGGGGGCGGATAAAGAAAAAGGAAACATTTTGGTGGAGAACAGAAATCATAGACTCACAGAATTATACAGCACAGAAGGAGGCTATTCGGCCCATTGTGTCTGTCCCGGCTCTTTAAAAAGAGCTATCCAAATCAATCCCACTCCCCCGCTCTCTCCCCATAGCCCTGCAAACTTGTCCTCTTCAAATAATTATCTACTTAAAAGTTGTTATTGAATCGGCTTTCACCACCTTTTCAGGCAATGCATTCTAGATCCGAACAACTCACTGTGTTAAAACATTTCTCCTCACCTCTCTGTTTCTTTTAATAACTATTTTAAATTGGTGCCCTCAAGTTACCGACCCACCCGCCAGTGGAAATAGTTTCTCCTTGTTCACCTTATTGAATACCCTCACAATTTTGATAGCTGCTATTAAATCTCCTCTTAACCTTCTCTGATCCAAAGAGAATAATCCTAGCTTCTCTAACCTCTCCTGATAACTGAAGTCCCTCATTCCTGGTACCATCCTGGTAAATTTCCTTTGCACCCTCTCCAAAGCCTTGACATCCTTCCTAAAGTGTGGTGCCCAGAACTGAACACAATATTCTAGCTGAGGCCTAACCAGTGTTTGATAAAGATTCATCATAACTTCATGACTTTTGTATTCTACACCCCTATTTATAAAGCCTAATATCCTACATGTTTTTTAACAGCTTTATCTACCTGTCCTGCCACCTTCAAAGATTTACCTATATGAAACCCAGGTCTCTCCGTTCCTTCACCCCTTTTAAGATTGTACCATCAGCTTATATTGCCTCTCCTCATTCTTCCTCCCAAAATGTATCACTTCTAGTTTCTCCATATTAAATTTCATCTGCCACGTGTCTGCCCATTTTACCAGTCTGTCTATGTCCATTTGCAGTCTGCTACTATCCTCCTCACTGTTTACTACTTTTCCTAGTTTAGTATCATCTGCAAACTTGGAAATTGTACTCCCTATACCCAAGTCCAGGTCATTTATATAGATCAAAAACAGCAGTGGCCCCAATACCGACTGCTGGGGGTCACCACTGCACACTTCCTCCAGTTAGAAAAACAACCATTCACCACCACTCTCTGCTTTCAGTCTCCCAGCCAGTTCTGTATCCAGGCTGCCACTGTTCCTTTAATACCATGGGCTTATATTTTGCTTACAAGTCTCTTATGTGGCACTTTATCAAACACCTTTTGAAAATCCATGAACTACATCAACTGCACTACTTTCATCCACCCTCTCCAATACTTCATCAAAAAACTTTATCCGGTTTGTTACAAACGATTTAATTTGAACAAATCTGTGTTGGCTGTTCTTTGCTAACCCATATTTTTCTCAGCGAAAATGTATTTGTCCCGGCTTATAGTCTTTAGAAGTTTACCCGCTACTGACGTTAGGCTGACTGGCCTTTAGTTCCACGTTTATCCTTCTGCCCCTTTTTGTACAGGGGAGTAACATTTGCAACCCTCCAGTCCTCTGGCACCATCCCAGTGTCCAAGGAGGATTGAAAGATTGTTGCCAGAGCCTCCATTATTTCCATCCTTACTTCCCTCAGTAACCTAGGATGCATCCTGTCCGACCGGGTGACTTATCTACCTTGAGCACAGATAACCTCTTTAGTACCTCCTCTCAATTTATTCTTATCTTATCCAATTTGTCTACCTTCTCCTCAGACACTGTGACATTGGCTGCATCCTCTTCTTTTGTGAAGACAGATGCAAAGTACTCATTCAGCACATCAGCAATGCCCTCTGCCTCCACAAGATTTCCTCTTTGAACTCTTAATTGAACCCACCCTACCTTTGACTAACCTTTTATTCTTTATATGCTTATAAAATACCTTTGAGTTCCTTTTTATGTTACCCGCTAATCTTTTCTCATACAATCTCTTTGCCCCTCTTGTTTCCTTTTTCAGTTCTCCCTTGTACTTTCTATATTCTACTTAATTATCTTCTGTGTTTGGACCTAACACTCATCTTTTTCTGTTTTATTTTAATCCCAATTTCCTTATTCATCCAGGGAGGTTTGGATGCCCTACCTTTCCCCTTTGTGGGAATGTATTTGTTCTGTCCCCGAACTATCTCCTCGAAAGCTTCCCATTGCTCCTTAGCTGTTTTACCTGCCAATATTTCTTCCCAGTCCACCTTGGCTAAGTCCCTTTTTAATTCGCTAAAATTAGCCCTCTTCCAGTTGAGTATCTTCACCTTTGATTGTTCCTTGTCCTTTTCCATACGTACTCTAAACCTAATGATGTTGTGATCACTGTTATCTCGATGTTCTCCTGCTGAAAGCTGCTCCACTTACCCTATTTCATTCCCTAGAACAAGATAAGCACTGCTTCCTTCCTTGTTGGCCTGGAAACATACTAACCCAGAAAAGTTATCCTGCACACATTTCGGAATCCTCCCCCCTCCTTGGCTTTTACACTGTTATTTTGCCAATCTGTGTTAGGATAGTTGAAGTACCCATTATCACTTCTCTGTTGGTTTTGCCTTGTTCTGAAATCTGCTTGCAGATTTGCTTATCTATCTCCTTCCCACTATTTGATGGTCTATGGTATACACCTAATAGAGTAACAGCTCCTTTTCTGCTCCTTAACTCTAACCAAATAGATACTGTTTTGGGATCCTCTGGCACATTGTCTCTTTCCACGACTTGAACTGTGTCTTTAATCAATATTGCCACTCCTTTTTTTCTTCCCCATTCCTTCTGAATACATTGTAGCCAGGAATATTCAGCTTCCATTCCTGCCCTTGTTTGAGTCAGGTCTTTGTTATTGCTACTACATCATAAGCCCATATGGTAACTTGAGCCGCAACTCACCATCTTATTTGTCACACTCCATGCATTTACACACATGCACTCCAAGACCAACTGAGTCTGCTCTGCATTTCTCCCCCGTCTAATCACTCCCTTTTCTGGACTATTCCTTATGACATTGCTATTCGTCTCTCCCAGCTCTCTATGTAACTTGTTTGTCCTCTCTGAAGCTACATTCTGATTTCCTTGCCCCCTTGAAATTAGTTTAAACCCTTCCCCACACCACTAGTTAACCTCCCAGGGAGGACATTGGTCCCAGCCCTGTTCAGGTGTAAACCATCCACCTTATCTGCCCCAGAACTGGTCCCAATGATCCAGGAACCTGAAGCCCTCCTTTATGCACCATTTCTCCAGCCGTGCACTCATGTGTTTGATCCTGCTGTTCTAATATGTTTTATAACTATGCACCTCTTGCCCCTTCTTCACCGAATTCCCACTCTCACCAAATTCCTTAACAGAACTCTCACTCAGTTCCCACCTCAGGCTGCTGGGCTCTCTGCTCAGACGATGATGAGATCAGAGGGGTTGGTGTGGCGCAAGACAAAATAGGGCAATAGGGGGGAAAATTATAAAAAGGTGCGTCCGAGACCCAGAGTACGCGTGAATGGCTTCACATTCATTCATATATCTTGTGGGTTATTGACCCGAACCTTTCCTCTCTCGGTAGATGCTGTCTGACCTTCTGAGTGTTCCCTGTTTTTGTTTAAGGTTCCCGGGATCTGCAGTACCATGTTGGCTGCTGTTTGTAGCAGAGTTGCCAACTCAGGTCAGTGTTTTTTTTTAAAAAAAACTGTAAGTAAAGGTCTTCAAAAGGGGAAACAAAACGGTTTCGCAGATTTAAATTAAGATTTTAAAAATTGGGCCCCCAACGATTTTTTTTCCCCACGCGCAGGATAAGAAAACCCGCCCAACTGGGCGTCAACCCGCCCACACTGGGCGCCAACCCGCCCACAACCCGCCCAACTCGTGCCCACCTGTCCCCAGGTGGCGCTGCAGTTGCTCTCTCCTTCGACCACGACTATCGCGGGCTGGGGGAAGGTCGGTGTCGGAGGGGTGCGGGCTGACGCGGGGCTGCTGGGAGAAGGTCGTGTCGGAGGTGCGGGGCTGACGCGGGGGCTGCTGGGGAGAAGGTCGGTGTCGGAGGGTGCGGGCTAACGCGGGGCTGCTGGGGAGAAGGTCGGTGTCGAGGGTGCGGAGCTGACGCGGGGCTGCTGGGGAGAAGGTCGGTGTCGAGGGGAGCGGCGCTGACGCGGGGGCTGCTGGGGAGAAGGTCGGTGTCGAGGGGAGCGGCGCTGACGCGGGGGCTGCTGGGGAGAAGGTCGGTGTCGAGGGGAGCGGCGCTGACGCGGGGGCTGCTGGGGAGAAGGTCGGTGTCGGAGGAGAGCCTCTTCCTTGGTCGCACAGCTGGAGCCCGAGGGTCAGCAGCAGCTCCAGCGGCACAGCCGCGCGGCCTGAGAGACAGCACCGCAGCGCCCCCCCCCCCCCCCCCCCCGGGGAGTCTCCTCCTCCTCCTCACTGCTCGGCAGCTCAGGTAAAACGGCTCCGGGGACGAGGTCACGGCCCCCGCTGCCTGGGAAAGGCGAGGGCCCGGCGGCAGCTCACAGCTGAGCTGGACAACATGTGTGTGATATGACATGGTACCTGTACAACATACGTGTGATATGACATGGTACCTATATGACAAGGTGCCTGTGTATGTGTATGTGATATGACGAGTGGTCAGTGCAGCTGCTTTTAAAGTGTCAGCCTGTCTGTCTGCACGACATGCCTATGATTTGCACGGCCTTTCTGTCTTGTATCAGACATGTCATAATTTGATCCAGTTACATGGTGGTTTGAGCCCATAAAATGAAACCCTGTATTATGGGTTGTATTATATAGTGCAGTTACTGGTCAGTGCGTTTGGGTTGTTGATGACTTTCCTGCGGTGCACATGGCAGAGCTCACAAAGCCAGTGTTTGCTGGAACGTCATTGAAATCTGGAGAGCTTTGCACCTCGGTGCCAAACACAGATAGCTGGCCAGACAGTGGTAGACGTGTACTGGGATTTCTGGGATTCTGTGGGTCCACAGTATAAACAAATGTAATGATTATGCTGTCTACAGACAGACCCCAGTAACACTAAATAAGAGTTTCATTCTATTTGTAATAATGTGACCGGCTGTCTGCACACCATACACACAAATAGAATCTGCTGTCTACATAATATACATGTAATAATATGACGTGGTGCCAGTCAGTGGTAGAAGTGTACTGCATTTCTCGGATTGTTGTTGTATTTTGTATGTTGCTATCTGCACAACATGCATGTAATAATTTGCCATGAGGCTGTCATTAAGCGCTCCGAGACGCTGCCCCTTGTGAAGAACACTATATAAACACAAGTTGTTGTTTTCTACATACATGCATACATGAAATGTAAAGATTACTACACAATAATCGTGAATGTGAAGGCCTATCCGTACACATTAAACCGATATAATGTGACACAAACAGAAAACAAATATAATAATGTGACACAAGGCGGGCTGCAATGGCTGCACACAGACATTAATATATAACATGGGCTGTCTGCACACCATAAACAAATATAATGACATGCTGTCTACATAATAAACAAATATTATGTACACAAAGTTGTCTCTATATAATTACAATATGTGATAGTTGTCTATATACAAGTTACAAATGCAACAATGTGGCTTGAAAGTTTTACACAATTTATAAATGTAGTAATGTGTCACAATCGTGTTTTTACACAATAAATATTATTGTGATTCAGGGCTATTTATAGAAAATTAACCCGTTGCTTTCTGGAAAATAAAATTGATTGACGAGTGTGTAATTCTCAATTAATCTGGTTTTGAATCCCGTTTGTACCACTTGTTGACTGTTTTTGTGAACTTGTAGACTTATGGCATAAAGCATTGTTTTGAGGTACAATGCTGCATACTGCACTGTGGCAGTCAGATGGTAACTGGTGAGTTCATTGTGGAAGGAGGGTGGTTATTTTTATTCTTGAGTTGAAATTACTCAATATTCAATTTTAAATCATTTGTCAAGAAAGTGACACAACAAAAGTTAAAGACGAAATAATGACAGAGATATTCTTGCACAAAGAATAAATATAATTATTGAAATGTAATTAAATATTGCAGATGATATGGTTCTTTTCATGTTGGAAGGACATCTGAAACACTTATCGGGATTTTCCATAAAGTGAATTTATTTTGTATTTATACTGTATTTTGTAGGTAAACTTGGCAGCCAATTTGCACAGAACATTATTCCACAAACAGTCATGAAGTGAATGACCAATTTTATCTTTCACAAGATTGGTTTGGATGAAGAAGGCCCTTTGACCATCTGATCTCATCCCCCAGAATATCCACCCTATTATCTTCCCATCACAACATCAAGCTATATTTTAAATGAGCATAGAGACAAACTCCTTTCTCTTTTTTAAGTAGTGCGATAGGATCTTTAATGTCCACCTGATCTCTGAGTCCTGACCTTGGTGTAATATTTTTTCCAAAGGATTGTACATCCAAAAATAGAGCATAAATATCCAGCAATAGCTTGCATTTATATAACGGCCTTCCTGTAGGGTAGCATCTCGGAATGCTCCCCGGAGCATTGCACTGGAGTATCATCCTTGACTATGTGAGTTCAAAGTCCCAAAATGGGTCTTGAACCCATAACCTTCTGACTGAGAGGCGAAAGTACTACTAACTGAGTACTACCAACTGTTCCCAAGGATGAGTATTTTTAACAAAACATGCTCCCTTTGAACTTACTTTTTGGTTTAAATAATTATAACTTGAACAAAATGCAATGTAAGTATGTAGGGCTGTCATCCTACCGAATGCACATCCATCGTAATAAGGATATGTGTGACTTTTGGTGTTAAAGTGCCATTTTTAGAAATAATTCTTGGTGGTAGGGGAATGGGCAGAAAAAAAAGTTGACCATTATTCTCTGTTGACTAAATTCATCATATTTTTATTTCCAAAGCTGCTCAAAGATACACGATCAGTCTATATGTGCTTCATCGAATGTTGGAAGAATGACAGATGACAGGGATGTACTGCGTGATGTTTGGTTTGGAAGAATACCAACCTGTTTCACCTTATCTCAGGATGAAATAACAGAACGAGAGGCTGAACCTTATTATGTAAGTACAAGAAACAATGTTGCATTTCTTTTACCCCATTATGGGGAGGTGTTCATTTTTTCTGATTTGTTTGTAATTTATTTTATAATTCTCTTTTCCTCCAGCTTTCTTCCAATTGGCCCACACCTCTATATTTCCCCGCCCCTTTTCCTCCCTAGCTGCACTCTCTGTAAACCCCATCTCATCCAAAAGTGTGCAGCTAGAGTTGTTCACTTCTAATTTTTTCCATTCACTATTATTATTCGAGTTTTCTTATTTATATTATAGTTTTTTTTAAAAAAAGTGATGTTTGCAACCTTAGAAACAGTCATCTTGTATTACACTCCCTTATTTGTAGTAAATCTATCAACTGTTTCCTAAAGAATTGTCTGCTCAGGAGACTTAATCCGGTGACTTGATAGCCACTGATATTTAAAGGTGAAATGCTGTGCTTGTCAAATTGATGGAGAACGAGGGAATATAAGAGTAAAATACAGCAAAATCTAGAAGTAGCGTGAAGCTCGACTCAAATGTGAGTAGAGTGAAGCTCATCTCAAACCTTATTGGAGCATCTCATGTTATTTATTACCTGTCTGAGGAACACATAGGCTGTTCTTGCTATGGGCCTGTGGCCATGAGAGAGAGACTGAGTTGAAACTATGCAAATTTATTTCACTCTGTCCTTACTTGAGACAATAGTTTTATCTGACCTTTCAGATCCCGGTCTTAGAGGTGAAAGGATGCTTCAATCTGCTCATTCATAATAGTTGAAAACAACTGATTTTGTAATAGTGAGCTTCTGTTGTTGAGAACAGACATACATCTAAACTGTGAAGGGTCAAGCTTGTTCTTTCTGCTTTTAATGGATAACTAGAATAATAATGCAAAAATGAGTTAGTCATTGACACAAATGTATGAGGATATATAATTTTTGAATCTAAAGATTCAAAAGCATTGTTTTCAGACTGTTGATTTTTAGATATGAAAAGCATGAATGTAAAAACAAACAGCATCAAAAGCATTTAAACAAATAACAACACAGAATAAAATACACTGCAACTTTACATTCATATAAGGCCTTTCATGTCGGCAGGACGTTCCAAGGTGCTTAAACAGTGCAATCCTAATGATTTCTGAAAACTAACCAGAGCATGAAACTGATTGCAGTACAAGATTTAAAACTGCTGTATCAGGCAGTTAAGGTTCTGATTAAATAAAATTTGAGAGCAGAGGACTTTGTGAAAAGCAAAGAAGTCATCTGGCTGGAAACCATCAGGCTTCAGCTCAGTGAAATTCAGACTGGAATGAGGAGAAGTTAACTTACCAAAATTAAAAATGAGAAGTATCATCCTTTGATTAAATCCGGCCTGTCCAGGATCCCAGTCAGACCAGCAGGAATAACAGAGTTGATAAAAGCGAAAACTAGCCCACGTCTCCAAAAACAGAAAATTCAAGATTCTATAAAAATGCAAATCAAACAGCAGCTGTTTAGTCTAAGAATGCTATGGAGATTATATAGTCATGTCAGATTTAGCTTCACTATGTTCCAAAGTCCAATAATTTAGGCATATTGTGGAGAATTGCCAAAGGATAGGAATGCAACAAGTCACAAGTAATAAGTTGACATGTATAGAACCTGAGGGATTTTGTGAAATAACAACTTTTTACGTGATGCTGTAGGGCAACTAGTGAATGAGGACCCATACCATGGATTAAATTGTATACATTTTGCAATATTGATTTTCCATTTGACATCGTACCTTCCTCTATTTGCAAATGCCATAGCGGTGAAACATTTGACCCTCAACAACATGTGCAATTTCTTTCAGCTGCTTTTGCCAAGAGTCAGCTATTTCATGCTCGTCACTGACAAAGCTAAAAAGCATTTCCAGAAAGTTATGAGACAAGAAGATGTGGGAGAGATGTGGTTTGAATACGAAGGGCTACCTCTGAAGTGGTGAGTTCCCATTGACACTCCTAGTGACTTTGTCATTATAGATTTTAAAGTGTAGTGACTATAATATCAGCAGTTATTTAATTTTAGATATATCCTTCATTTCTGCCAAAGCATCAGAATGATTACAGAAATCTATATAAAAAAATCAGCTGGTTTAAATACAGCTTGGTCAAGCATGCTTCCATTAGATTGAAATTGTGTTATACATGTCAACTCGGGACACTGCAAGTGAGTATGTGGAGACGTTTTTTGTTTTGTTTTCAATATCTGAGGAGTGAGGTAGGTGGGCTGGGATAGGGGAAACTGGGGGATTGCCTAGACTAACCAGTGGTCCCATTGGGTTGGTGGGTGTCCTCGCCTGTCTTTAATTTGGATTTTGCTCAGAACATTTTGAATGGCTGTGTTCTTCCTTGTGATATATTTTTTTAAAAATCTTTTTATGTTCCATAAATTAAGCTTGCAGGATTCAAATTTACTAATGTTAAAGAATATAGTTTCTACCTGAATATAATTTTCTGAAATGATCAGTTATAGTTGTGGATTTCTCTCTCAATTCTACCAATGATCAGTTGGGTTGAGGTAGTGCAGAGTAAACCTATTGTAGTTGTAATGTGAAGGGTACTATAAAATTGTAATTTGTTGATGTTGTTATTTATATTTCCATAAGACTTGTCACAGGAGATTGTTGCCAGATTGTTTGCATCAATTCTTTTGTGTTGGATACAATGTTAAACCAAGGCTTTATCTACGTGGTCTGGTAGTTCAGTTGAACATTAAAGATGGCACTAACTTTGATGAAGTGTTGAAAGTGGAAATTGTTTTGGTGTCCTGGCCAATCTTTCTTCCTCAACCAAATTTCTAAAAGCATCTTATTTCTGATGGTGACTTAGATAAGTACTATGTTGGATAGAGAGTTGACTTTGCAACAAAAAGCAGAGGGTACTCATTAATGGAAATAGATTGGAAGATGCTGTCTCGAGTGGGGTTCCCTACTATTTATAACAACTTTATGTAAGCTTTAACAGCACTATAGCAATGTTTACTGTTGGCTCTAAAATTGGTGCGAAAGTAGGACAGAGAAGAGAAAGAGGTGCATGCACTGCAAGCTGATCTGCACAGGATGTTTGATTGGGTAAAAAAACAGATAGCCTTTAATGCAGAGTATTGCAACATAATGTACCTCGGCATCAAAATCTTTAGTTTGACTACCTTTTGGGTGGGATTCCCCTCAAAGTGGTTGGTCCAAGATAAGGAGCTTGAGGGTGAACATCGATTATACTCTGAAGGCTCAAAAATTGTGTGAGGTGGCCATTAACAGACACATTTGAGTGTTGGGATCCATACATAAGGCAACAGACTGCAAATCTACAGAACCTATTCTGATGCAATGGTGGGACCCCACATTGGGTGATATGTCCAGTTCTGGTAAACGATATGGAGGCACAGATTTTTTTTTCCTCTCAAATTGGCCTTTTATTTTCTGTCTGGTTCATCACCTTTCCTGGAGGGGGAATGTGTGTGACAACAGGAGAGAAGTTACTGAGTGTTGAGTTACATAGGAACAGGAGTAGGCCATTCAGCCCTTCGAGCCTGTTCTGCAATTTAATTAGATCATGGCTGATCTGTACCTCAACTAATCCTTTCAATTCCAATTTGCCGCTTTCTCCCCATATTCCTTAATACCCTGACCTACCAAAAAATCTATCAACCTCATTCTTGAAGGTGTGGATGGATCCAGCATCCTCGACCTTTTGGGGGAGAGAATTCCAGATTTCTGCCACCCTTTAAGCGAAAAAATGCTTCCTTAATTTCACCCTTTTATGGCCTGGTTCTAAGGTTAAGACTATGACTTTGACCGAGCCTTCAGCTCCCCTCTTGACTCTCTACCCCCTCCTTGCTCCCTCCCTTCCCTCCCCTCACCTTGACCATTTCCCCCCTCCTCGCTCCCTCCCTTCCCTCCTCTCACCCTGACCATTTTCCCCCAAGGCTCAGGTCCTTAACCCAACTGTCCAGCGCCTTGGGACGTCCTCCCGACGTGAAAGGCGCTCTATAAATGGAATCTTGTTGTTGTTGTTGTATGTCCCCTTGTTTTGGATTCCCCCACCAGAGGAAATAGCTTCTCTGTATCTACCCTATCAAATCCTTTTATCATCTTAAACACCTCAATCAAATCACCCCTCAACCATCTAAACTCAAGGGAATACAATCTAAGTTTATGCAGCCTTTCCTTGAACTTAACCCTTTTAGGCCTGGTAACATTCTGGTGAACCTACGCTGCACGCGGTTGGAGGTGAAATAGAGAATTATCCTGGTGTGGATTATATGGGCTTCTGGGCCTTTTCTGACTCTTTCTGAAAGCACTGGAAAAGTGCTTGCATGTTGTTTGAAAGATCTAATCAGAGGAAAGTACAATATCTTTGTTCTCATGGGTCATCCAATTTAAACTGCTGAAATGAGCGCCCGTTTCTGACTGGAACATTCAAACAATCCACAGATGTCCTTCCTTACCCTAATAGTTGTCAGTTCTGTGTTGGCTTCCTTAGTCTGATATTTCAGATACATTCTGACCAGAATATCTCCTCTTATTAACATGGCCCTTCCAGAGCTGTCCCTTGTGGGTCTCTTGGTCATCACGCCCCTGTGTTTAGAATCGAAAAGTAGAGACAGCTGTGATCTTGTCATTCAAACTTTGACATTTATAATGTCTGGTAAACCCATTTTATATTCTTTTCCTCTGCTGGTAGATCTGATATAATTATTATTATCAGTTGTGGATCCAATTGTAGTGGATTTGGCAAACTGTACCCCAGCAAAAGTCCATAAGGTTTAATTAAATTAATTAATTAATTCTATTGCACCTCAAAAGCCTGAATTACAATCGCAGTGTTCCTTGATAGCTTTGTTTCAAAAAGTACAAATAGCAATTAATTTCTCACGTCATTAAGTGCAGCAAATCAGCAGTTTTGTCAAAGGTTAAATGTTGAGAAGTGTTTGTGACCGATTGAAATTCTCACCCAAAAAGTCACTTGTGAGCATTGGCTAAGCTGGAGGTCCCTCTTGTGGCCAAAGGCGAGGTAAACTTTACTTATGTAATTTATGTTTATTTTTAACATAAATGATATGTCATACACCTTTTCATATTCAGTGTGCCTAGTTTACAACTGACTGTATAAATGTGGATTGCTCACTGATAAATTTCCCCCAGTGTTTTGACCTAACCTAACACAGTTTGTATCACTCTTGCCTCTGAATCAGAAGGTTGTGGGTTCCAGCCCCAAGTTGGGACTTTGAACACACATGGTCTAGGCTGACACTCTAGTGCAGCGTTGGGGGTTTTGTATTGTAATTTGTTCTTTGCTTTGTATTGTTGGAGGCGTTGTCCTTCGGATGGAAATTAAAGATCCCGCAGGCTGTTCAAAAAGAGAATAGAGTTTCTCCCAGTGTCCTCTATCCTTGCTCGGCTCCATTGTCTTCCCCCCCTCTCCCACTTTGACCCTCAGCTGTCCTTCCTCCCCCACATCCGATCCCTGACCAGGCCCACCTTCCTCCACCTCTGCCACATTGCCCGTCTCCGACCGTACCTTACCCCAAATGCAGCAGATACCCTCGTTCATGCGTGTAGCACCTCCCACCTGGATTACTCAAACACACTCCTCGCCGGTCTCCCCAGCTCCACTGTTCAAAAGATCCAGCTCATTCAGAACTCTGTTGCCCACATACTGACCCGGAACAAACTGCGTACCCACATCTCACCAGTTCTGGCCAGACTACTGGCTCCCCATCACTGAACAGATCAACTTCAAGATCCTCACACTCGTGTTCAAATCCCTTCACTCTCTGGCCCCTCCCTATCTCCGGCCTCCTCACTCCCCAATCCACTACCCGGCGCCTCCACTCAAACTCGCACCCCCCCCCCCCCCCCCCACCATCGGAGGTTGTGCTTTTAGCCAGTGCGCCCCAAAACTGTGGAACGCTCTCCCTCAATCCCTCCGCCTTGCCCCTTCTCTCCCCTTTTTCAAGTCCCACCTGAAAACCTTACTCTTCGCCAGTGCTTACAGCCATCTCCCCTTGGCTTGGAGTGAGGCCCCACCACCGTTAAGCACTCTGAGACGCTACCCTGCATGGAAGACAGGCACTATATAAGTGCAAGTTGTTGTATTGTAGAGTTCCTTCCCGCCCCCCCCCTCCCGTCTTGAAGGAGCAACTGCTACTGAACAACGTCAGTTTTCCATGTCAATTGTTCACGCGTGTGATGGAAAATTTAATGTGAATACACAGTATTGTACTGTGAGCCCAATCCCAAACTCATTTCATGCAGTATTATTGTAGGCAAGACAAAGGTGATTTCAACCCAGGTCTCAGATTTAAAAGGCCAGTGTGTAAACCTGTTGTTCCAACTTATTTATTTTATCTCATGATCCACTATTTTCCCCACAGCTGTTGGTGATTTTGAAGTTGTAATTGGAGGAACCATGGTACAGCATCGTTTTCTTAGATTAGATTGAAAGAATGCGGTGTTACTGCCACAGTAAGGAATAATTGTTCCTGTTTAAAGATTATCATCAGCAAAATGAGCAACAAAAACTCCTCTCAACTGAAGCTCCAATCCATTTTCACTCAGTAAAAATCCATTTTGAAACATCAAATTCTGAAAGTATGGTTTCTGAATGTTACTTTGTTCTTTGGAAAATGATGGTCAGCCACTTGTTGAAATCAGTGAAGCAATGTATTTTGCCGGCAGATGGTGCTAGAGTATTACTAGTGTAAAAGTAGTTCATTCAAGTTTTTTTACACACATGTCAGAGCTTCCAAAATGAACCAGTATTAGTGGAAATAAACTGTATTAGATAGTTGGCAACCAGCTAGCAATGCAACAATAAAGTAGCAGAGTGATTTTGTTATTTTCAAGTTAAAGACAACCCTCCCCGAAGAAGCTGACTGCTCATCTTTCTTCTGATCCTCAGTTATGTCCTTGAGTTAATGAATTGCTCAATCAGTGGAATATTCTTTCTCTATTTACCTTATCAGAACCATTCATAATTGTGAAAATCTCTATTAGAATTCCCTCTACCTTTCTCTTCTCCAGCAAAAGCAATACATTTTCAAGTTACACAACATACCAATACATACTCAGCCCTAGTATTGTCAAAATGAATCTTCACTGCACCTCTCCATAGCTTTGGTATCTTTTCCACAATGGGGTGCTCAAAACTAGATGTAAAACTCCTGCCTTTGGAATGAAATACTGACTAACTTCTTAAAGGATATTTGGATTTTACTTTTTCAGGTTATTCTTCAGACTGATTGTGTTTTAGCACTCCACGGTGCTACCCCATGTGAAGAGCACAAGCTATATGCAATGCAAGTTATTGTTTCAATAACACTGTCTGGTGAAAGTAACCATTTAAACTTCCACAACATGTTGCCATTCACAATTGTGGTTTTGTATTTCTCATGCTGACCCATAGCATCGCAGTGCTGTACAGGGAACCCTGTAATAATGTCCCCAGTAAACACCACGTATTGTGCTGGTGTACTGTGCACTCCTGGAAGTTCGGAAACACGCAGCTTCCAGTACTGACTGGCCAACGTCCTGTTTTTAAAAAATGGTCAATTTTGTTGTCGCTATTGTCATTTCCTAAAGGAAATTATGACAGTGGTACTTCTTACGCATAGCAATGACCCAGATGTAAGCCATTTTTTCCCCACACTTTGCTTTAATGCAGTCGCTGCAAGATTGGACCCAGCTGACTGCACTCGCTCTGTATATATGTTGGTTACTATTGAAGGAATTTCATATGAAAACCAAAACTTAAAAACTTAGACTAATGATTGAAAGCATGTTGGAAGCATATCTTCATAAGAGCAACTGGAATCATAATCAACCACAAACTAATTTAATTTCAGGACATAAGAATACTTTCAATGTGCACGCATATAATACAGCTTATTGAGGCATTGTCTTAGCCAGACTGAGCCTTCAGTGATGCAGTATGTAACGTCTCAAACGTGGGAGTACAAAGAACAAGCTTAAGCCTGTTGTTGGCTGTACAGGATGTTTTTCATTAACAAAGGAAGTTACATACTGATTTGCTTCAGAATTAACTGTTTAATAATATTTGTTTTTCAGTTAGCTTTACTGATACTGTACTAGAACATTTGTTAGGCATATGATTATACTTATAATTGTGTTTATAAAGATAATTAACTACATATATGAATTTGAAATAATTAGTAAAGATTTGTTTATACCAGTGGTGGCCAACCTTTTTGGCCAACAAAATAAACATAGTAATAACAGAATAACATAAATTTATGCCATAAATCTAGAAATATTCAATCAAGAAATATTTATTTCATTGGCCAACCGCCACTGGTTTATACAGATATGGACACTTTTTAGTAAATAGATATTATTCCAGTTTTGGAGCTTAGTTATGCTAAACAATTGTATTTAGATCTGTATGATTAGTCTAATAATAATCCTGCCATTTTCTATAACGCTTATACTGTCATTGTTGCAAAGTACTTCATGAGCAATAATCCTTGCATTTGGTATTGCTCTCAAGCTATTTGTAAACTCATGCAGCAGCCAATTTGTTTACAGCAATGACCCACAAACAGGAATGACTGAATGCTGAATTTATCTGGAAGATTATTGGCTAGGAACTGGGGAAATTTGTTGGCTATACAGGATGTCTTTATGAATAGTATCTTGAGATCTTTTATGTCCTCCTGAATAGGTAACCAGTTTCCTGGCCAATAATCCCCCAGATAAAATGGTTACTCACTTCATGGCTGTTTGCGGAACGTTGTTATGCCAAATTTTCATGGATTTTCATGAACCATTTCCATAATTTAGAGCATTTGTAATTCCTTCTATAAACACGTTTTACACATGGCACATGTACACCTGAGTTTCCATGTTGTTTACATATGGTGAATAATAGATTCCAGTTTTCTATCTGGTTCTTCTTAAAGATTTTTGTTTTGAAGCGTTTTATAACTAACATAGTTAAGAATACTTGTTCAACTATATTCCTTCATCAGATGCACAACTACGGCAATCTATCAATTTTTGATACAAAGTAAGGGATGATCATGATTGATCATAAAGGCCTGATGTATTATTTGTGTGGAAAGTAAAACTTTTTAATTTTTCCAAATCAGCATGTTGATTATCTTCTGAAAGACAAAGCCTATATTGAGGAAGGTCTTGGTTGGGATGTTTACCCACTATTCTTTCAGATGTTTAACTTGCATATTTTTCAGCATTTTCTTTGTATTTCAGCATTCACTATTTCGAAGATTCAAGGTTCATTTTCTTTTATCTACATCAAAGTTTATTATAGGAAATTTCATATAGGAAAATGTATAGTGATTCACTTTGCTAGAAAGACTAAAGAAGTTGGCTGGTACCTTGGATGGTAGTAACTTAAGAGGAGTAAAGGAACAAAAGGATGTATCTAGAGTTTCAGATTCACAGGACTGTAAAATCAGCAGGGCAGATATGAAAACTGCACACCATGGGTCTCAGTGTGCTTGTATATTTCTGTGTGTATCTTTCACTCTTTCTAACTATTGTGTGTGTATTTCACTCTAATCCTTTGTCTTTCTTAAATGTGTTTCTCTCTCTAATCTGTATTCACCTGGATCTTGTACTTACTTGATTTCAGGCAGAAATATCATGACACTTTTTAGCTAATTTTATTACAAGCATGAAACTGATCAGTTTCTAATGTTAATCTTTTAGCTTCCTCTTGATGCTTTATAAAGTTAGCTTAGTTGATAGATTTTGTTGGTACAAAACTTTTATATAGAAGGCCATTTAATTTACATCATTTGTTGCAAGGAAATAAAATATTCAATGTCTGAAAACTTTTCAAAGATGCGTAAATGTGGTATTTTAGTTGTCAATGTTGTTGTTCTCAGTATCAACCTTTCTCTCGTTTGTCATTAGGCATTATCCAATTGGTTTACTTTTTGACCTTCATGCATCGAACACTGCACTTCCATGGAACATTCTAGTACATTTCAAGGTAATTTTACATTTTTCATTTTTACTGTTCTACTGATTTGTAGCTGTGGTAAAATGCAAAGAATTTATTTAAAACTGCAAGTTGCATCCTGTCAGTTTTGGAGTTAGTTCATAATGGAATCTGGAATCGCAGGACATTTTCTGATACGCTGTAGGTTTTTGTAGACATGTATGACAGTCATGACAATATTAGCATTATAGCTGGTATAATTGGCAGATTTTTTTGTAGGTCAGTCAGGTATCTGACACAGAATCATAGAATTATACAGCATAGAAGGAGGCCATTTGGCCCATCGTGTCTGGGCCGGCTCTTTGAAAAGAGCTATCCAAATCAATCTCACTGCCCCGCTCTCTCCCTATAGCCCTGCAAACTTGTCCTCCCCAAATAATTATCTACTTTTCTCTTAAAAGTTGTTATCAAATTGGTTTCCACCACCCTTTCAGGCAATGTATTCCAAATCTGAACAACTCGCTGTGTGAAAAAATTTCTCCTCACCTCCCCTCTGTTTCTTTTAACAACTATTTTAAATCGGTGCCCTCGGGTTACCGACTCACCTGCCATGGACATAGTTTCTCCTTGTTCACCTTATTCAATACCCTCACAATTTTGATAGCTGCTATTAAATCTCCTCTTAACCTTCTCTGCTCCAAGGAGAATAATCCTAGCTTCTCTAACCTCTCCTGATAACTGAAGTCCCTCATTCCTGGTACCATCCTGGTAAATCTCCTTTGCACCCTCTCCAATGCCTTTTAAAATGTGGTGCCCAGAACTGAACACAGTATTCTAACTGAGGCCTAACCAGTGTTTTATAAAGGTTCATCATAAAATAACTTACTGACTTTTGTATTCTGTGCCCCTATTTATAAATAGGAACCCGTATGCTTTAATAGCTTTATCTACCTGTCCTGTCACCTTCAAAGATTTACCTATATGGACCCCCAGGTCTCTCTGTTCCTTCACCCCCTTTAAGATTGTACCATCAGCTTATATTGCTCTCCTCATTCTTCTTCCCAAAGTGCATCACTTCGCATTTCTCTGCATTAAACTTCATCTGTCACGTAGGTGTCTGTCCATTTTACCAGTCTGTCTATCCTCCTCACTGTTTACTACTTTTCCTAGTTTAGTATCATCTGCAAACTTGGAAATTATACTCCCTTTACCCATGTCCAGGTCACTCTGCTTTCGGTCACCCAGCCAGTTCTGTATCCATGCTGCCACTGTCTCTTTAATACCGTGGACTTTTATTTTGCTTACAAGTCTCTTATGTGGCACTTTATCATAGTATTACATCATAGTCCCATGTCCATGTGGCAACTTGAGCCTGCAGCTCACCAATCTTATTTGTCCCACTCTGTACATTTATGCACATGCACTCCAAGACTGACTGAGTCTGCTCTGCATTTCCCCCCATCTAATCCCTTTTTCTAGATTATTCTTTATTACTTTGCTATTCGTCTCTCCCAGCCCTCTGTGTAACTTGTTTGTCCTCTCTGATGTTGCATCCCGATTCCCTTGCCCCCTCGAAACTAGTTTAAACTTTTTCCCACAGCACTAGTTAACCTGCCTGCGAGGTTATTGGTCCCAGCCCTGTTCAGGTGTAACCCATCCACCTTGTACAGGTCCCACCAGCCCCAGAACTGGTCCCAGTGTTCCAGGACACTGAAGCCCTCCTTTCCACACCATTTCTCCAGCCGTGAATTCCTGTGTTTGATCCTGCTGTTTTGATACTCACTTGCACGAGTCACTGGGAGTAATCCAGAGATCACCACCTTTGAGGTCCTAATCTTTAGCTTTTTCCCTTGTGTCTGATACTTTCCCTGTAGGATCTCAGCCCTTTTTTTTCCCTACGTCATAGATCCCAATATGGACTATGGTTTCTGGATGTTTCCCTTCCCTCTGTAGAATGTTTTGCACCTGTTCTGTAATGTCTTCAATCCTGGCACCAGGAAGGCAACATACCATGTCAGAGTCACGTTTTTGGTTGCGGAAACGTCTGTCTACTCCTTTCAACCTTGTGTCCCCAATGACAATTGTATTGACACTCTTCCCGGTGTCACCCTATGCATCCATCTGCTTTTGTTTCCTCTCCCCAGAGGTGTCATCACCCTGACCGGTATTCAGTACAGAGAACCAATTTGTAAGTGCCACACTTTCAGGGGATTTCTGCACTGTTACCTCTTCCTACCTTGCTGGGTGGTCACCCACTCACTCTCCTCATGAACACTGTGTGGCTGTGGGGTGATCACCTCCTGAAACATTCCACCCATGAACTTTTGAGCCTCCCATATGCTTTGTAGTGACACAAGCCTCTCTTCAAGCTCAGAAACTCTAAGTTCAAGCAACCGGAGGCACTCCCCACACACATGTTTGTCCAGGGCACACAAAGCATCCTGGAGTTCCCACATAGCACACATTGTGCAAGCAATTGAACCTGTGTCATCTCACCTACGAGGCGAGCATGATAACCACTGCGCTATGGGACTCCACTCTTAGTGTTATAACAAGGCTCCACTATAATAGCAATCTGTGCCAGCCTCTCTCTCTCATTTTTTCTTTTTTTTCTGGCGCTCTTTCCAACTTTGTTTTCTCACTGTGCCTTTATCTCTGAGCAAAAAAAAAGTTAGGTGTGAACACAATATGTTGTGTGTATACGTGCAGAGTTGCTAAGGATGTGATTTACTCTTGCTGTGTCGGTAAATCACACCTGAGGTAACCTCAAGTATGTACTCAAAATTGCACATACACAAACTGGATATTTGGAGAGGATTTCTTGTTTCACACTTTTTGCCTTGTGTTGGTGAAATATAAAAATTGTATGATTTGTGTATAACTATTGCTTTTTTTTCCCCAGAATTTTCCCGAGAAGGAACTACTTCACTGTACCACCAAGGATGCCGTTGAAGCTCATTTCATGTCCTGCATTAAAGAAGCTGATGCCTTAAAACACAAAAGTCAAGTAATCAATGAGATGCAGAAAAAAGACCATAAGCAGCTCTGGATGGGCTTACAAAATGGTAAGTTACTCTCGCTTCATTCTTTTAAGAAGGGCTTATTTTCTGCATTGTGTTGCAGATGTTTTTGTTTTTCTTAAAGTTGGAAAATTGCACTGTAATTACCATTTCTCACTTCCAAATTCGATGTTTTCCTGAATGATTGTTTACTATTTTTAACCAAGGTCTCTAAACAATAGCAAAGAGTTTCCACATATGATGTGGAAATTTATACAGGATATTGAGGACAAATACTACCATTCAGATCCACTAGTTCATTTACAGTGACACTTGTATTCTAAGAGATTCTCCTCGAAAAATATAGGTTTGTCAAATTGTTATTGTTTTATATATTTAAGGCAATCAAAGAATAATCTTATAGGAGCCAGAGTTTTGCAAAAAGTTTCAGTTCTTTAACTCAGTTTGCTTATTATTTTCATTGATGGTTTTATATTAATGAATTCAACTGGGTTGCCTTCTGTTGCCTTCTGTTGTCTTAACTATTGCATTCATTCATTATCACTTTCTCTGATGCTATGGATCTGAGACGCTAGCCTGCGTGAGGGGCACAGTATAAATGCAAGTTGTTGTTGAAAAATAACACGTTTTGCAAATAAAATATAAAGTCAGGTCACTTTACAGTGTATTCTATGAAGCGCTTTGAGATTTCTCGAAGACATGATAAGGCACTATATCAAATGCAAGGATTATTATGTTTCAGTACGGTTTGTCCCCTTCTTAGACAATGACAGCAACAATGGTCAGTTATAGAGCACCTTTCACCCAAAGAGAATGTTTTGGAGTATTTTACAAAGACTGAACAGCAGCTCAACCTAGAATTGAGTTGAGGGTGGAGGGAGGAGAGGGGGCTGAAAGTACAGTCAAATAGAGAGGTTCTTAGATGAGTTTTGAAAGCTAAGAAGGAGGCACAAGGTAAGAGGATTTGGGCATAACATCTGACGCCACTGTAATTAAAATGTGAAGTAAAATACAATGTAAAGCTATTCATTACCTTTAATCAAACAGCAAAATATGTACAGCAATAAAAAGATCGGCTCACTTGTTCAAAACTAGGGAGTACAGTGCAGTTCAGTGGAGTCAAGTATCTGCATGGTTTGAATTTGTAAAGATTTATAAATCAGCCAAGTTGTTCAGGAATCTTCAATTCCCTTCATCCTCAGAATCAAACTAGTGAATGAACAAACGTATTTGCACAAATTCAGGTCTACTTTGAACATTGTGTGTATTTGATTGTAGACACAGCTTTTATAAATAGTGGTAAAAGAAGACAATTTTATAAACTTATCTTTTTATCACATGGTGCAGTGCTGAAATGAGTCAGTTATAGTTTCTGTTACGCAGCACAAAATTTACTTTCAGTGAAAGATTTGATGCAAGTATACTCGGCTTTGGTGGCCTTTACAACAGGTGTCAATTTAGTAAGTCAAATTGGTCAGACAAAAGGAAGAACCCACCCTTGTAGCTGGTTGGCTGCTTTATGCCAGTGTGGTTGGTTGTGGTGAATCTAGTACTGTATTAAAGATGAGAAACAACAAAAAAACATTATTTTATATATGGTTAATTAATATGATTATCAGCTGATCATAGCAATTATAACAGAACATTTGTGAGAAATGATACAAATTACAAATTTGCATTAGTACCTTTCACGTCAGGTGGATGTCCTAATGCACTTGGAAGAGTTTAAACATTAACTGATGTGCCTAACTGCTAAACTTTAAATTTATTTCTGTATTTATTAAATTTATTTCTATATTTGGAAAGCTGTGGTGAGACTGAAGACCTTCGACCGTGCTTACAGTCACCTCCTTCTTTCCACGGCTTGGCGTCAGGCTCCGCCACTGTTAAGCACTCCAAACTCTGCCCCGCGTGAATGGTGCTATATAAATGCAAGTTGTTGTTGCGTTCCCTGTTCTGTTTGTTTTCTTTAAATGCATATCAAAAGTGAATTTTGTAGGATCACTCAACACTGCATTGTGCTTGTTAAAGTATTTACAACACATAGTTTGTTCCTGCCACTGATGTTACTAATTAATTAATTAATTATACAGAGAGCCAATATAATTGTGGGGTACATATCAGTCTATTTAATCACACATTTGCTCTATTGTGTACATCTATTAAATTTTTCTGTGGCCCTAGATTCCTGATGAAAACAAGTTGTTCAGCTTTATGTTTTGTTTACTGCAATACATCTAGGTAATGTGCAGTACATTATTCAAGAATATAGCTAACTAACATTTCATGTGTTTTATTGTTAAAGCAATTGCATTATGCTATATTCTATATAGTCTTAAGGATAGTCTAATGATGATATTTGGTTCAGTTGTTAGCACTATTGCTTCTGAGCTAGAAGTTTGGGGGGTTGATTCCCCAAACAACTAGTTGAAGCTGATAATCTCATGAGGCTGACATGTTGGTGCAGTATTAAGGAAGTACTGTATTGTTGGAAATCTTTTTCTTCATCTAACTGTTTGGGTGTTTAAGATGGATATTAATGATCCTAATTTACTATTTCCAGGAAGAGTTCTCGATGCCCTCAAACATATTCTTCCCTCTCTAAATTTATCCACTCTAAGATGTTACCTCACATGAAGGGCACTATATAAATGCAAGTTGTTTATTATCAAATAAAAGATAATCCATTTAATTAGTTTTGAGATGTTACTGGCACTACTAGCAGTATCTCAAAATTAACTAATTCTGGGAAATGTTTTGAGACGTTTCAATATTATAAAGTGCTGTATTAGATCCAACTCGTACTTTCACAATGGTGTGACTCTCGTATTGGAAATTTAAGCTTATCTAAGGTGATTATTAAGAGCAAGGTATTTTATTGGACATTGTTTGCAAAAATGTTGTTTATATAAATGGTTTTGCAATTGTCATTGTTGTGCTTTAAACACTACATGAAATGGTCTAATCAAATTTGTTTTCTTTGACCGTCATTATTGAGTTGATGATAACCAAAGCTAATATGCAAATTTCAAAAGCAAAATAAGCGAATGTGGCTGCAGCTCTCTACAGATATGAATGTTGCCTAGAATTAAAGAAAAATCGGGCAGGTTTTTTAATATTAGAAATAAAAGCTGCTTCTGAAACTGAGACAACTCTTTTAGAACATGCAGCATCTTTCAGTACTTTTTATAGGGTTCTGATATAGTTTTTTTGTTACTTATGAAACACTGCAAACGACCACAGAAGAAAAGAAAGTACCATTTGGGTCAACTGAATCTGAGAATGCGATACATCTGTAAATGTTTTCTGGGCTTTAAAAGAGAAGCAAAACTGTTTTTTTTACAGTTGGCGAAAAGAATTAAGTATATGTTTAATGTTATATGTGAGACAAAATATTTTATTCTGTTGGCTTCCCAAGATAAAATAGTAAAACATGCTACCAGCTGCGTCAACAGGTTGATTATGAAAATGTGCACTGTGGAGAGGAAAAACATTTTTCCCCCCTCTTCTACCCTCCTGCTTATACTTAAGTGTGGCTGTATGTTTGAAGGTAGGCTTCTGGCACCTAACTAATCTCAATTTCTGAGCCAAGACAATCTAGTTTAATGTACACTGATTTATTAAAAGTTGCTTTTTTTTCTGTAAAATCTTCACAAATAATAACTTTTGTACATTTGATGTAGGGCTTAAGTTCAAAATTAAACTTCATTAAAGTACTTTACAGGTTAAAGTATAGTGACTATATTTGTAGGCAAATGTAGTAGACAGTTGCACACAGCAGATTCTGCAAATAGCTGTAATGAACTACCACTTTATCTGGATAGTTTTAGCCTGAACACCAGGAGAGATATTTAAATTTTAAATTTTCCATCCGAACGGACTGATGGGACTTCAATTTAATGTCTCATTCAAAAGATGGCACCTTTGATAATGTAGCATTCCCCCAGTACTGCGCTGAAATATTAGTTTACTAACCTTGGAGGAGGTAAGCGGGGGTCAGAATTGAGCCAACTCTCTGTGGCGGTTCCGCTAATCCAGTTCCTGAGCTAGTCGGGTCCGTAGTACTCCAGGGTACTGCTGATGACAACCTCGCTCAAAGGCAGGACTTTGAAAGGCAGACCAGTCAATGGGGCAGGGACACTTCGCACTCAGCTCCTGTTAACCCTACAAGCCAAAGCCCTTACTTGCCATACAATTCTTTCAATGGGAAACTACAGTTTTAGCTGGATAAACTCCAGCAGTACCCCCCCAATGCACACTCTGGGGTCCCCAAACCTTGGCAACCTACGCCTAATATTCACTGGCATTAGGTAAGCAGGAAGGGACCCTCCAGGAAGAGAGTGCACATTCCATTCCAATAATTATCCCTGGAATTTTCATGTATAGGTGAGCTGCATGCGACTCTCTGTTTGGCTTGGATACTTGTTAGCATGATAATAATAATCCTTGCATTTGATATAGCACTTTATCGCGTCTTCTAGACGTCTCAAAGCACTTCACAGAATATACTGTAAAGTGAATTGACTGGATATTTGTGGGCGAAACGCAGCAGCCAATTGCGCACAGCAATGTCCCACAAACAGTCCTTTGTTTAAAAGTAAAAAGGATTGTTTACATCCTGGCATTATCAGGTTATCAGATGATCGGTTTCTGTATGTGTCAAACATCCGACTAACCAAAAAAAAGTATTAGCCTTGACTGAATTTAACTCCTGATGTGGGGCATGAAGCCACGACCTTCTGACCCAAAGATGAGAATGCTGCCACTTGAGCTAAATGGGTTATCCCATGAGAAAAGCTTGAGTAGAAAAGATTATGTTTGGTGACCGCAGTATGTTATTCTAAGTTTTGCCAAGTTACTTGAGTGGAGCATCACAGTGAGCTTGATATGGTGATCTCATCTAACTTCAATCAATGCAAACTTAGCAGCAGAGCTTGCCAGGATACTGATCAGGAACCCTATTTGATGTTTCTCTCCTTGTTCCCTCCCAAAGATAATGTAGTTCCATGTTGTGTAATTCTGCTTCTTTTCACAATCGTGGTTCA